CTTTGATAATTTCTTTAAAGGCAGTTGCTGTGTTAGTGAAGCAGCTGATTAAACTAGAAGTAGTGCTTTTGCTATATGTGGAGAGTAATAGCGTAAAATGCAGTTTACCATCAAACTAATTTTGGTTTAAGTCTGCTTTTCCTAACTAAGGTCATAGTGTGCTATTGGTAGTGTCAGTACTTAGATTTCAAAGTGCCTGGAAGTGCCAGACTTGTGTTGTTTTCTTCTGTCATCAATGCCTGTAGGAGGAGAGAAGGCAGCCAACATATGAATTGAGAGTTGAACAGAAAAATGATTATAGAAACTCTTGGATAAGAAGTGTCACCAGAGATGTCGAAAATAATTTGCTCAGCTGCTTCACTTCAAAAATTCTGGGCTGCAGTTCAGAAAGCCTTCACAGTGCACTCTGAAAGCATTAGTCTGGCAAAGGCGCTAGGTTTTCTTGTACGTTTCATTATCAGGGTGATCATGCCACTAGCCTTTCGCTCTGACACAAAATCGGTGGTTGTCCTTGTGGATGACACTGATGTAAAACAGTCCTGACAATGAAACTGAGCTGGAAAAGTACATTCAGTGTTGGTTTCTGGTTTTGTTTTAGGGTTAATTTAGTGGTTGAAAGCCCTAGAGCCTTTTCTCTTGATGACTGGATACAGCACAGGTGACAGTGGTGTGCCATGACTTGGGTGTCAGCTACCTTCTGGAGAGAGTGAGGACTGCTGAAGCTTTCTGTGAGCAAATTCTGACCTGCCTCTGATCTCTGAATCTGCCTCTGGGGTGGTGGTTGCTGGTTTGTACTAACTGTACACTGCTACAGGATAAATCCAATTATCTCCTTCAACTGGCTTACCCCGTGGCCCCTTTATTGCTTGAGGAGATGTCAGGGATGGGCTGGGAACAGGAGGTTCTGGGTAGGGTATGACCTCTCCCTTATGCGAGCAATCAGGATTGCATCAGCTGAACTTGGCTGTGAAAGTGCAGAGTGACAGTGACACAAAGAGGAGCCATGCTCTCCAAGTGCCTGGGTGTTGCTTCTGACTTTCCTTTATGGTCTGTTATTAAAGATGGCAAAAAAGTTTCCATTTTGATTTAATTTGAGATAGGTTATACCTACGAAATGACTTAGTACCCTCAGAAGCATCTCTGGGCTTTAAAGATCAGCAAACGTCAGCTTGTGCATGTAAAGAAGGAACATTTTTATTGATGCCAATCTCCTAAACCATACCATATTTTTTTCAAGATGCATTTTAAAAAGTAATCTTCATGAGCTGCAGAATGTGTGGACACTTCAACATTTTAATCTTTTACTGAGGTAAGAAGCATAAAGACTGGAGTTTTGGTAGAAAGAGTGGGGGTGTTGAGGAAATGGAGGACTATCTATCAAAAGCACTTACAGAAATGCAACAAGTATCTGGTTGTGAGGGGACAAAATATGCCATTCTTTAAAAGGCCATCCTTTTCTCTAATTAATCCAAATGGAAAAGAAACCCATTCCAACTATCCACCATTTTAAAAGGTGATAAAATGGTAGGATTCTATGCTAGCGAATTTGTTATGCTGATTTACTCACTGTTTTCTCCAGTTTTATGCCACTGGTATTTCCCATGAAATTTGAAGGTTGAGAATCCCATTACCTAATGTTACTGTGCTGCATTTATTTGGATTGTAAATGCTCTTCTGAATGTTGGGTTTTGGTTGGGCTGAGTTTAACTGTATGGCACAGAAAGGCAGTGTTAGTGAATGGAAATAGTAAAGTCACGAGGTCCTGCAGAGTTGGACTTTTAACCTGTTTTTTAATATTTCTGTCCAAGATATGAAAAACTTTTGAAACCTTTACTGATAAAAATGTTGAGGTAACAAACAGCTGGAGAAATAGATAAAACAGTCAGTTACTGATAAAGAGAAGATATACTCTAACTGAGCTGAGTTCTGGCACACAATGTATTTTTCATCATATCCAAATATAATTTTGTATCTTGGAATAATAAATGCACACTGTATTTTCATCTCTATTCCAGGAAGTAATTATCCTTTAAGGACAAACCCCTCTGTTGAAGAACAGGGGATTGCAGTCATCATTTGAAGCTGGACTTACGTTGCTATGCTTTGACCAAAAGGCTTCATAAATCCAAGAGCTCCAATACTGAAGTTATATTATCTTCGTATTTGGTGTTGTGAAAAAGTCTGGAATGCTGGTTCCAGACGGGTATACTTCAAGAAAGACATTTCTTGATTCAGGATATGGTCATGAGAGTGATGAAGGAATTGGAAGTGTTCTGTTTGGTGAAAGATTTAGAGCTCAGTCTGCTTTGTTTAGCAGAAGTGTGGTTAAGAGATCATTTGATCACAATCTTAATGTATTCATGTGGGAAGCAGAAGTGTAATAATAGATAATTTCTCCATCTAGCAAACAGAAGTAAAAGAACCAACAGCTTGAAATTTAAGTCAGACAAATTAGTTTGGAAATAAGATGCAGAATTTTAACAGGGAAGGCAGTTAAACACTGGAACAACTTACCAATAGCTGTGATGCATTTGCAAATGTTGGAAATACCATAGCTAAGATTGCATGTCTTTCTGAAAGACTTGCTGTAGTTTAGGAACTAGTGTTAATACGAAGAAGAAATTGATGCAGAGGAGCCTGTAATACTCAGGAATTGCAGTACTCATGTCCTTCCTTAAAAGTTCGGGACTGTATTTGCAGTGCAATGCAGTGGTTAATTTCTGCTTCTTTTGATTCTGGTTTAACCATTAGGAGAATTTTCATGGTATTTCTACACGACACAATGTGATGCAGGTATCTGTGCTGACCCTGAACAAGCTAGGATGGGTACTAAAAACACCAAAGCTATTCTATTTTTCCACTAGGAGTGATAAATAGTGCTTTTTAGCAGGGCTGAGATGCTTGTATACAATGCTTGATCACAGCTGCTTGCTCATTCTTAGCGAGTTTCTACAGGTAAGGAATCCTTGAAGCCTTTGGGAGTTATATGTAAAACTAAGGATTTCTCATATAGGAGAAGCAGATTTCCAAACTGAGATATTTTTTTTTTCTCTTTATTGTTTACATATGTTCAATTTGAGAACAGATAAATTGTTACAAGAAAAGTTACCAGTTACTCAGAGCAAGAAGCTATATTGGACTCGGGGAACCTGCAATGTGAAAATAGTTGGGGGCTGAGAAGTCGTGAAGGAACACATTAAAGGTCCTTTTTTTACTCTTTCCTAAACATTAAATTATCTCCATTGTGTAGACAGGATACTGGACTGCTAGATTACTGGTCTGATTCCATGTAGCTTTTGTTATACGAGTTCTAACAATGTGTGTTTCATACTACTAAATTCTGAGAAACTGAGTCTATAACTTTGATGCTAGCTTGTCATGTTCCAAAGTGTGAACCTTTCACAAGAAATATATGCAAAATAATATTTCTTTAAAGTAAGAGGATTAAAAAAAATCTTTAAAATTGATGAATTGTAATGTTTTTACCATGGCAACTTAAAACTGATTGTATCAGTTTTCTCATATCAAATTAAAACTGGAGTATACATTTTGTTCGTTTAATTGTCATTTTGATTTATTGGACAGACTTATAGTGCAGTTAATGTCTCTGCTCTTTAGATAGGAGTTTCCATTGCTGGCAAAAGAAATTCAAGAAATGGGCCTACATAACTGTGGATTACTTTCCAACTGTTGAAATGCCTTTTCCTGTCTTGTTTAGCTCTGAATGTTGTCAAACCACTTCATAGTACAGTATATGGATCATCTTGTTTATAGGCCTGTGACTTGCCAGTACATCTGTGGATGAGCTATGTAGAGCCATTGATTGAGTCATTGCTAGAAAAGCAAAAGAAATAGAAAAGTACTTGAATCAGAAGAAAAACTGTACAATTAAGGCGTCAGCTTTATGAGTTCTATTATGTATGCAGCTGCCTGACTGGAAAATGTGCTGGCGTAGACCTTAAATTGAAGATCACAGCATTAAGAAAGTGTGACCTGATAGCTAGCGCTGTCATGGGCTTTTGCACTTGATGACTAACGGTACACCAGCAGTACACTATGTACTTATCTTAAAAATCAGGCTAACTGTTCTTGAAAGATTAACACACACATTATTCTGATTTTTTTTTTCTGATATATGCGTCTCTAGAAGTTCATGAAACTTTTTCTGCACCTTCTGACTATATGTGTATTATGAAATGTGAGATGTTGCTGCCATATTTCTGACCAAAGGTATCTCATGTTGTTTGATCCTAGGCAAGTTAGCATGTAGTCGCAATAAACTTTAAGATACTTGGGTGTGGTGAAGCTTTATACTCCCATCAGATTAAAAATATTTTGCTTCCATTGTTATGTTTCACAATGAATATTTTGTTTAATTAAAGATACTTAAATCACCTTCTATGTATATTGTGCTTTGTGATTATTTATGAAGTAGATCACGTAAAAACTACACAAACACTGAGATCTAAAATTAGAAAATGTTGCTTCTAGTTGCCATGTAAAACTTAAATAAGCAGCATTAATCTATATGATTTTCTTCCTGAAATTTTTGTTTAACAGTTTTACTTTCTGAATGGTTATGATTCATGACTTTACCTGGGATCTGGTCGTGCAGAGAAGTGTTAGTGAAGGATTTCTTTACATGTGTTTCAGGATCCAAGTTTTTCTCGATGACTTGTTCAAATCCATGTTCTTCTTCAGAAATGTTACACTTTGCATTGATAGGGTAAATTCACAGTCAATGGAATAAGTTTTTATTCTTGATATTTGCTTAAAATGGAAGATGGAAACACTTTTACAGTAAACATAAAACCATCCTATTGATTACTCAATTTAGACTTTTGGTTTATCTTTCAGTGAAAAATGCAAGAGGGGAGAAGTATCTACATTCTAACAGTGCTAATGATGTCATATGTTTCATATATTACACCATTAGTACAAGGAAGAAATCACAAGAGCTATAATTTGATTACTTTTTGGGGTTTGTTTTTCCTTTTCAGTCAGTGGTGAAGACTGGGCGATTGCTGATTAGCCACGAGGCTCCCTTGACAGGAGGATTTGCTTCTGAAATCAGTTCCACAGTTCAGGTACACAGATTATTTCTGTTAAAGTGTTTTGAGTGGCTGAGTATGTTTACCTATAAAAGGAATATTTATTACTATATTAAAAGTTGAGTTTTGTTGTGTTTTTTTTTTTTTTTTTTTTAAGTTATTCTTTTACATTTTTATTAGATTTCAGTTTTGTGGATGCTTGCAATACTTTATCTCAACATGTGAGAAACCATGTGCCTACCAGGCACTGTGCATAGCTTCTGCTATGGTAGAAATTTTAACTTTCAGTGAAAAGCAGGGAAGAGGGGCTGTCACATGCAAAGGAAAAATCTTTATGTATAGTCTGGTTTTAAGGTACCTTTTTGACTTTTCTCATATTTTTATCTGCAAAGCTTCTTTAAAATACAATCTAGGAGTGTTGAAATTGGACACAGAAAAAAAACACCCAGACCCAGTTCAGTATACTGTGGTGTTACACGTAGTGTTCAGAGATCTCATTAGGGAAGCTCTCTGCGAAAGTGGTTCATGCATAGTGGTGTAGATGCTCACACATATGTAGAGCTTGTATGCACAGAACAGCTCTGAAAGGCTGGGGTGCACATCACTACCAGTTGTCTGGAGCATTAGGCTTTAACTTTTCTGGAAGTCCTTTTGAGCTTTCTGACATGTTTGATGCCTGTACTTGCATACAGATTTTCCCCCTAACTTGATTTCTTTCCGATGCAAATCAGTGATAATGGTTTATAGAAACACCTAAACTAATTGTGTCCATCACCACCTGATTACTATTTTCTGATTATTCTCTTCTTAGACTAGTGAAATTATAGGTCTAGAGAGAAATGGGATTCTAAATTTCACAAAATATAAACCATACAGGCAGTAGTTAAATTCTGGGAATTAGCCTTTTTGTAGGAAGGAATAGACTTAATTGTTCTGGGAATGTAATTTTGAATTACATATGCATAAGGAGTCAGAAATCTGTTTCTTGATCTGTAGTACAATTTCTTTTAAAGAGTAATTGTATTAATTTTAGTATAATTATATGAAGATCATTAATTTTTTTCTACCAAAATTTGGTCTCTGTTAAGAACCAAATATTTATAATCCTTTTAAGTAATTAGTATTTGACGTCCCTTCTTTTACAGGTAGCCTCTTTGATTAAAATAGATCTAGTAAAGTCATAAGGTACTGCCAACCACGTGTGTTGAAAGTAATGATTTTTCTGAAATTCTTACAAAAATGTGAAATAAATGCAACCAAAAGAGCCTGTCTTTTAGTATTGTGCATTATTAATAACACTGGAGGAGAAAACTATTTTAAGACGTGCAGTAGTCTCATAATTTACTGACATAACAAAGAAAAGCATATATGTTGGAGAAAAAAGTGAGTTGAAAATTAAAAAAGCTTATCAGTAAGTATTATTGGAAGAGCACGAGATGCTCAATGTATTGCTGAAACTACAAAATGAAGTTTTAATCTTCTCAGACCTCCATTAAGAAAGTTACTTACCTGATCGATCCATCTTGGGGGTGTTTTTCGTATCAGATGTATCTCGGTAAACATCACTCAGAAAACAGAAAGCAAAGCTTAAAATGCTTTAATAAAGACCCATTTATTTTTGTCTATTGAAAGCAAATATTTGTTTCATGGTAGTTCATAATTTTATATTAGTATTTTTTAGGAAAGTAGGAATTGTATCTTGAGAAATACGAGTTAATTTATCACACCTACTACCTCAGAATCAATTGGAATATAACTCTATGACATTGAATTTATGCATGGGGATTTTCTTTCATATAAATTGTTTGACTTGAATCTACGTTATAATCATATTGTCATTACTCTTTATACCCATTCTTGAAGATTTTATCATCTGTACTAAAATTCTGATACCAGTTATTTTTAAGAATATGCATACTGCAGAAGAGATTAGAATAATATTTGCAAAGCATTACAACTTTTTAAAGAAGAGTATTGTTTTAGGCATAATAAAGATCTTGCTTTTTCTGTTCAGTTAAAACACTTGATCTCTAAATGATCAAGATAAGTCCACATGTCTAATATTGCTGGGCTGTAAAAATAAAAACAAGAAGAGAAATTCTCTTGCTGGATACAGTGTCTACTGAGGATGCCAAATATGGGGGATTGCAGTTGGCTTTAGTTTCCTCTTACACATGGAAGTAATAAGACTTCAATAAAGTGTGTCCAGTTGGATTAGATGGTTAGTTTCCATATTGTTATTCCATCCTTGCTGTGAGGTCTCTTATCATAGAAATAAGCTGAATAAAAGTACATAGGTTATTCTAAAAATTAACTGTCCCAAACACTTCATGGTGGTGTACACTTCAAGGAAAAGAGTACAAATGGAAATGATGGCTTTCACTCATGGACTGGATGAGAAAACTGTATTAAACAGTTTTCTTTTTGCATATGAGAGATTAAAAGCATTGTTTGGAGAACATATTAAGTAAGATTTGTTCTCTGTCAAATATGGGACATTTAAAAAGGGCACATTATTACATTAAGTAATTTTTTACTCTGATTTCTCAAGCACATAAACCAGAACAGAAAGAAGTGGTGTAGTTAAATGCTGTGATATGTGATCTCAATGGGTATTCGGAACTGAGCAACAGATGATAGGATAAATTCAGCACAGGTGCAGTTAATCCTTTGTATTGATTATATTCTGTATAAAAGCTTGCAGAACTGTCATGTTGAGTAGCACGGATACTAAACTTCTGCTTAAGGCGTGGTCGGAGCACAGTTTGAGAAGTCTTGGAGAACAGCTCGCTAAGATGTCACTTCCAAAATAATGAGGCATTGGGTGTGGAAATCACCAGTACATTAATCATTTGTAATATAAAAGACTGTAAATCCAGTATTTGTGCACCTGCTTAAAAAAAAAAAAAAAAAGAAAAAAAAAAGAAAGAAACATAATGTTTTCAAGGAGAGATGAGAGGGAGAAAAAAGGGAAACAGGAGTAGATTATTTGGTGTGATAAAAGGCTCATCTACACACATGCATGCATGCAAAGGAGCCCAGAGGCATTGCAGGAGGCAGGGAAACCCCAATAACAGAGTCCAGGAAATGGAGCCCCTGTCTCAGCTCCTGCCAGGGCTGTCCCACAGCCAGGGAACGAACACCCAGAGCAGGAGTCAGGGATACTCTGGTCCTCTCTGCAGACTGAGGGGTGTTGCTGCCTGCCAGCATTTGAGATGTACTGTGTGATGCAGGGCAGAATGTGGGCATGGCTGAAAATTTCATGGCGATCTGAAGGATGCTGCCTGTTTCATTAAAAACATTTTGAACTGTACAGTTCTGAGATGAATTTCATGTAAGACTGAAACAAATAGCTTTTTTTTTTAAAATTAAGTTTTTAGTGGTCACTAGAATAATATGCAGTTCTTGCCATTTGCTGGTTTTATATGGCTTCTGTGTATTATAGAAAGCATGTAGTGTTTTGAACATTAGAGGCCTGACTGCATGGCATTGATCTTGCAAATACAGAAAATGTATTTTTCCATTTTTCCATTCTCTACAAATAATGGATAAAATATTGAAAAAATAGAAAATGCTTTACTAATTTTGAATGTTTTTATTTAAGGAATTTGACATTCAGTTTGGGAATTTAGATTTTTGTATACATCAATGACATTATAGCAGAATATGCCATGAAGATGCATGCTTCTATTAAAATACAAGAAATGCATATGATGAAACAAGGGTGTTAGCTGGCCTGATAAAGATAATTTCTGTCTACGAAATAACAAGTCAGCACAGTGTTTTTTGTAGAGGGTTGCACACATGTAAAAAGGAACATATTTTCTTCATTCTTGCAAGAATGGTTTAACTGTGTTTTTCTGTCATAGTAGTGCAGTTTCTTTTCTTACTGCCTGGTAACTACTTTATTCCTGGGCAACTGGCTATGCCTTGTGAGGATCTGGGGAACAGGGAATGTTGGGTCAACTACCAAAGAAATGTACAGATGAACAGAGCTCAGTCCTCAGGAGTCCTTCCAGAGGACTCAGTGTGTTTCCCAGAGTTACATAGCGGTTTCAGTCTTCCAAAAGCTATATAGTCCCAGCAAATTCAGTGAAATAACCTGTTTCTGAGGCTTGAGTTACATAATGTTATTTTCAGTTCTTCAGTTCTGTATCTAAAAATTATATATAATAACATTTGTCTATTTGGATTTGGTGGTACTTTAGATTTCCTCCTGCTGCTGCAAAACAGGGCCTAATCTCCAGTAAGTATTGTAATTTCCTGCTAGTGACTGACATTAGGAGAAACTATTGGATAAGCTATTTTTGTCAAAAGCATTTCAGGAAAAGGTAGAGTGAATATGTCTAGGAATATCTTTCAAAAATGTAAGAGTTTCACAGCAATTCAATTCTAAAACAAGTTACCAGAGAAAGAATGATCCAGAACAAAAAAAGCTTGAACAACAACAGTAACAAAATAATTCAGTGATTTCAGCAATATGAACATTTAGAGTAAAATAGCCCGAAGGCTAATATTGGACAGGAACTGTCAAACAATTATTTTACAGAGTCCTAACAACAACAAAATCATCTTTCCAACAAAAAGCTTCCAGAATGTTTGAACTGAATAATTTTTTATATCATTACATTACGTGTCTTTAGAATTTGAAATGCTGAGATATTCCAAACAGTCCCCTTATTTTGATTCTTTCATGAGCAGAAGTTAAGGTGGAATTTCCCAATGAAGCTGTGACAGTCCATGGCTTTTTGTGATACTTCGTGGAAGCAATCGCAATGCAATACTCTGAAATATTTGTGAGACCAGGTCTGACCTTCAGTTTATGTATCTGTGTCTGTACTTAGTGCAAAAGGGGCCAATCAATAACGTGGTCTGTGGGATTTATTTTGAAATTATGGTGGGTTATTAAACTATTTAACTTAGGCACTTTCACTCTTTTAGCCCATCTAAGCAAAAATCACAAGGTATAAAAGCCTGGCTTTACGTATCACATCAGTTTCTGTCACTAGGAGTGTGATCTAGGAAGTGTCGGTAGA